GCGGTAGCCTATGTATCCGATCCCGGTTAAGCCCCTCAAACGGTCGGCGCGGTCTAAAGGACTTGTGTAACTCGTTGGGAGTGCGACAGGTGGACAAGTGCGTGCTGTTGTTATACGGACTGGCTACCTTGGGCAACATCTCGTCCCAATTGACCTGATCTGGTATAATTTACATGCGCAGAATTTGTTGCAGAATCTTGTTCATCTGTTCCGTCTGACTGTTAGTCTTTGGGTGACGGCCAAATGACATCAGCAACTTTGACCCATAAACTTTCACGAGTTACAACCAGTTCTGACTAGTGAACCGGGTGTCTCTATAGCTAACTATAGACAACGGAATCCCGTGATCACCAACCCAATGGTCAAAAACTTTTGAATGACTAATTCAGTGCGTGCCTCTGCAGGCAAAGGGACAAAAACAACATACTTATTAAGCCTATCAACTATGACCATGACTTGGCTCTTACCATGCCCACTCTTGACGCCAGCGTCCATAACATCAATGGACACTGAATCTCCTGGCCGATCAGGAATAGGCAAGGGTCTGAGAACACCTAGAGGGGCACGTGTAGTAGTCTTGTTTCTCTGGCATACTTTGCAACTGCTGACATACTCTACGGAGTCAGCTTTCATTCCTCGCCAAGTGTATGCATACATCAGTTTGGCAAGAGTCTTTTGCCAACCGAAATGTCCCTCTGTGTCGTGGCATTCCCGTAGGATCAAACTACGAATCTCCTCTTTGTTGGGAACGCACAGACGGTCTTCTACGTCGGTCTTCTCGAACATCTTACTCTCTCCTGCAGATCACTCCCTATATCGAGATAGTGAACTATAGTTCCAAAGTCGCCTGATCTCCTACTTAGAGCATCTGCAACTACATTGTATTTGCCTTTAACGGGTTTGAGCTCAAAGTCATACTGGTCTATCTCAGCGGCCCACCTAGTGAACTTACATGTCATTTTGGCCCGTGTCTTCAGCTATGTAAGAGTCTCGTAGTCTGAATACACCTTGAAGTGCCTCCCAGGCAGTTAATGCTTCCAGTGCTCTAAGGCCTGCTTAAGAGCGTAGAGTTCTCTCTCATAAGTGAGGTAGCTACCTTTTTTGAGGGTATCCTCGCTGACATGAACTCTACGGGTCTGTAGCCATTGTCGTCATCCTGCTGTAACACGGCGCCTATACTATAATGACTCACGTTCGTCACTTATGGCAAGGACGGATCTGCTACTTTGAGGACATGATACTCTATTAACGCGCGCTTTAATTTCTTTAGCGCAGACGTACAGTCTTTATCCCACTGCCAGATTGCCTCTTTCTTGAGCAACCTACGAAGGGGAGCGACGATAGTCGAGAAGTTCCTCACGAACTTCCTATAGTAGTTAGCTAGGCCTAGGAAGGCGTCGGCCAATCTCTAATCGCCGCTATCTTGCTGTCCTCAGGCTTAATGCCATCTCCGTCTAAGACGTGGCCCAAGTAGAAGACTTGTGTCTTGGCCCACTCGCACTTCTTTGCGTTGATCTTGAAGTTAGCCTCTCTCAGCTTCTCCAAAACTTGCCTCAAATGACCCTGATGTTCTTGGAAGGTCTTCCTGAATACTCATATATCATCTAGATAAACTACAACAAATCTATCTAACCACGGTCTAAATAAATCGTTCATACATTGCTGGAACGTGGCAGGCGTATTGGTTAGTCCAAAGGGCATCACTATAAACTCATAGTGCCCATATCTAGTCCGCAACGCAGTCTTGTACTGGTCAACTGGATGAACCTCTATTTGATGATATCCGGTCTTCAGATCGATCTTTGAATAATATCCACAACCCTGCACCCGATCTAAAAGATCGTCTATCCTGGGCAGCGGTTCGACGTTCTTCACTGTGATCGCATTTAGACCCCTATAATCTATACACATCCGTAACTCTCCTTCCTTCTTGGGGACAAACGAAACTGGTGCTGCAAGAGGAGATGAACTGGGCCTAATCCAACCCTTTTCGAGGAGCTCGTCTAGCTGCTCCTTTCTCACTAATCGCGCAAACGCGGGAGCACGGAGACAGCAATGTGCCAAGGAGTTATCTACTCCAGACACATGAAACAGGCGGGCAGTCTTAACCTCGCCTGACGGGCTAGGGAGCTTACACTCATGCTCTCTCAAATGGAGTGTGGCCCCTGCTGCCTMTCCCCAATCCATACCTAGGACTATGTCGAAAGGAAGGTCATCCTGTACGAGGAGAGTCAGGGAATGGAGAAGTTTCTCCACCTTCCCATCCTTTTCTAGGCGAAAGTACGCCTTGACTCTCTCTACGTTGTCCTCAACACGCATAGTGCGGTTGTCTGCGAGGACACTACTATGGGTCCTCAGTGCGCCTTAGTTTTTTCAGCGCTCTACGGCTAATATAATTGCGAGTAGCCTCTGAATCTGTGCGCCTTAGTTTTTTCATCGCTCTACGGCTAATATAATTGCGAGTAGCCCCTGAATCTATAAGGGCTCCTACCCTACTTCTAAAAACTTCTACATCAACTAAGACTAGTTGTCCCTTATTATCCTTCTTCATTTTGGCCCGTGCGGGCTTCCTCTCCTTCAACTTTTCTACCACGCCTGTGAGGGAAGTGCCTAGAGAGACGCTAACACAGGCAGTCTCTGGACTGCTAACTAGGCATTGGCCTGCAACCTATGCCATAGGCTCACGTGGTGTGGGAGTTTCCTGGTGGTGCGCGCACACTTCTCCACATGGCCTAGTGGTAGGTGGAGTTGCGACCCCTACTGGTGGCTGCTTTTGACCCCTGGGCAGCGAATCGGGCTTCCCTATACTTTGGACGATATTTAATGTGGGCAGGGTCACCGCAGTAGATGCACTGCCCCTGCTCCATACTTTGTTGCCATACATGCTGGTCCAAGCCCAAATCTTCCCAAGGCCGGCCCTGTGGCCAGCCTAGGTGCCAACATCCTTGCCTTTGAGGTGATCTTCTACCTCTGCGATGCGGCGACCGACTGGGTCCTGAGCGATTCAGCGGGGGACCTTGACCCCTACCTCCCGCTTGACGGTTCTTTTGATTGCCAACCTCCTGTGCACCCGGACATCGACCACCCATGGCTCGGCCCCCTTGGCCCTAGCCTCCTCTACCTTGCGGCCTCCGACATCAGCGTAGGTCCTCCCCTGGCTTGTACCGCTGTCCTCCTCCTTTAGCCCCCACTCGATCTGACTGTAGGGGACTTCGTCCGTACCACCTTCATCTAAAGTAAGGATCAAATGATCCTTGGCCTTGACCTGACTTGAGATGGTACGACCTTTACACTTCTTTCCCTTATCTAAGTCCTTATGTCAGAAAGTGGAAACTGGCATGGACTTTGCTTCAAACAGGACCACTTCCCTACTTAACGCATCATACGTGATGTTGGCCTGTTGGGTCTTATCAAAGAAATGCCCTCGCAAGGGCTCTGGCATGGCACACGATAAAATAACTGGACCAACTGGGTCTTAGTGACCCCGTGGTCTGGGACGGCTACCAAGTCGTCCATGGCACGCACTCCTCCACCGTCGCGAGTGGATGGTTTGAAGCTTATCGGAGGCCCTGACGCCCCCTGTGATGTCTGCAAACACCTCTCTCGCAGGAGTTTGAGGAAAGTGGAAAGAGGGGTGAGCCTCAAGTATGCAACCGTATTGTTTTCACAATCGGCTGTGCTCGCAAGGGACCTGGCAAAGCTGGCCGCTTCGTCCTCTAGTGCATGGAAGGCCACGAGGACTTGTTCCTCTGGCGCGATATGTTGTAAATAGACATATGTGTTAAAGCTGGCCTCCTAGTTATCAAAATTATTGTCCTTTTTCTCGCTATAAGAGTCAGGAAATTTGAGCTTAAACCACCAGTACCTCTACCAGCTAAAAAAAAAAGTTGCGGCCGTTAACGCGCCGCGACTTTAGGGGGTTCGGCAAAGCCTTGGCATCCAGATGGGGGAGGGAGCTAGTGGGCCCATGGGAATTCCTCTGAAGGACTGCACGATGTCCGGTAGGTACTCTATGTGGAAACGAATGGAAAGACAATAACGTGCAGATCCTGGTTTCCGATTTCCTTTTTTTTTGGAAGAAGATCCTTGGCTGCTTCTGCCCTCGCTCCCCGTCAGCCACGGGCAGCATTCACTACTGGCTGCTCTTTCCTGGGAGAGGGAGCTGCAACGTTGCAACTTTCGAGACTGAATCTGGCTTCCCTTCTGCACACTATGAATGAAAGTGAGGGCAATAACGTGCAGATCCTGGTTTTCGATTTCCTTTTTTTTTGTTTCTTTTTTTTTCTGGAAGAAAATCCTTGGCTGCTTCTGCCCTCACTCCCAGTCAGCCACGGGGAGCATTCATTTCTGGCTGCTCTTTCCTGGCAGAGGGAACTGTAACGTTGCAACTTTCGTGAATGAATGTGGCTTCCCTTCTGCACACTATGAACGAATGTGAGGGCAATAACGTGCAGATCCTGGTTTCCGATTTCCTTTTTTTTTTGTTTCTTTTTTTTTTTTTGGAAGAAGATCCTTCACGGGTGAATTCAATGCCGTAGTGGAAACAAGAAAACGACGCGCCTGTCTACGTTCCTGCTGCTGGTACCTGCTAGCAGCAGCGCATGTCCCACATTTTTTCCCACTCCCCGCAGGCTCGACAAAATTCGGCGCGCAGGGCATATTCAGGGTCGGGCCTCAACAACTGGTAGGTACTGGTGGTTTAATGGGCTCTTTGAGAGGTCGCGTTTCGGCTTCTGCTGCGGCCACTACCTTGGCGCCTTCAATGGCGCGAGCACATAACTTCTCCATGCCTTCCTTCAACCTTTTAACTTCGGTCCCAACGTGGGTTACCACGTCGTGCACAAACTCTCTAAAGCCGGTCCAGATGGAGTGGAGGGTCACTTCCTGACCCTTATTGGCCTGATGTTCCTCAAGCCAGGCCTGACTCAAAATCTCAAGATAGCCTCAAATCTTATCTAATTTGGCAGGGGTTTCCTGTTGTGCTTGCTCTTCCTGCCTACATGTTTGAATCTTCTCCACTTCTTTGGCCATCCGGTTGGCCTCCTCCTTCCTCCTCTTCTTTTCCCTTGCCAGACGCAACTTCCACTCCAATCTCTTCTCGTCTTCCATCGTCTGGCGTTCCAGGGGGTCCTCCTTAGCTTCCAGCTCCTTGGCGAATGCTTCTTTCTCCTCCTGAGGCACGTACAACATTGCCTCATCTTCTCCCAGCGATAAGTTAGCCACCCACTCACCGATCTTCTTTTCCGTCCACTTATCCTCTGCCTGCATGCCACTTGTTTCTCCTCTTTTTCCCCCACGCCTCCTTTCGAGGGGTTCGTCGTCTACTTCCTCCTCCTCTGCTGCTGCTGCTTCTTCGGCAGATCTTTTTTTCTCTTCCTCCTGCTGTAATCTTAACGTCTCCTCCAACTTTTTCTTCTTCGTCGCTTGCTCTTCAGCTATCGCCTTCATCTTCGCTTGCTTGAGGAGCTCCTTCTTCTCCTTTTTCTCCCTTCTCTCTCTCAGGATGGCGGCGGATTGCTCCTCCTAAGCCTGGGTGTAAGGGGTAGTACTCTTCCCACCACGTGTGTCAACCATGGTGTCAGGTGCACAACCGGGCGACGGTTCCACTCCTCACCACTTAGACTCTAACCCCTTGATTGACACGACCTACTGACTCAATCTAGGGACTACAGAATCCGGTCAGGATCCTGTCAACTAGGGTCACTAGCCTGGACCTAAACTATGGTTGTCACTACAGGACCTATTGCTGATCAGGAGGCATTTAAGGAGATCCCTCGTAACTCCTCAGGAATTCTTTAACGTCGCAGACAGGACGACGCGATCAGCAGGTCCTCTCAAGACTTAGACGGGCTGTTGTGCAACCCACAGATCGGATTTTGGGCCTACCGTGCCACACCGAGCAGCCCGCCGGTCAGTAGTACCTTGGGAGGGTTCGTGTCCTCCGGGACAGTCGAGTCGTCAGACACAGTCTTTAGCCCTACTCAGCCCGTGTGGGTTTGGTCAACAAGGCCCTATCCTTCATCCACAGAGTCGTATCACCTGGACATATGAGACTCGATGCAGAAAGAAGAGACAGACAGACCACAGGGTGTGTGCACATCCATACGGCGAGGGGATGGGCTGAAGGCTTGGCGAGATTATACCGGCTCCATCTTGGTCAAAATCGTGGTCAACAGTCTTGGTCAGCGCCTTGGTCAACGCTTGGTCAACGCTTGGTCAATGCTGCAGACAACCCCCGATCAACTCCCGGTTAGCGCCCGGTCAACTCCGGTCAACTTCCGGTCAACGCCCGGTCAACTCCAATTCGGCTATGGCGGTCGGCTTCCCCTTCGTCTCCACCCTTCTCCTTCCCTTTTTCTGCCTCGCCTCCTTCTTCTTCACCCCGTTTGTCCTTCTCTTTTCCTTTTTCCTTTTTTTTAATTTTTTGTTCTCGTCTCTCCCTTCTTCTTCCTCCGCTTCAGTTCTCTCCTCAGTCTCTCCCTCTGTCCTCTCTTTCACCTCCGTCACTCTGTGGTTGAGCTCCGCGGCTATGGCCTTCTTCTTCTTCTTCGTGGAACTGTGTGACGGTCTTCACAGGAATGATAACCATCTTGTATCGCTCATCTCTCTCTCTCTCTCTCTCTCTCTCTCTCTCTCTCTCTCTCTCTCTCGCAGTAGCGATGTCTTCAACGGAGGTACGTGGTGAACCAAACTTGTATCTCTCGTCTCTCTCTCTCTCTCTCTCTCTCTCTCTTTCTTCTTCGTCGTTGTCTTCCTTGCAGATGCGCGCGGCGGCTTCTCCACCCTACGGGTCCGCTATGGCGGACTTCTACTTTGATGGCGCCTTCAGCTATGGCGCGCGACTCTCCCTGCAGCACACGACGATCGCGAGTGGAATAGCGGGTACCAGCTCCGATACCAATGCAATCAGACTTGCTCTCTTTCACACTTCACATGCATGTAAACAGTTTGCGCAACAAACTGGCGACAAGCGCCCACTCAGAACTCAGAGATATAGTAGCCAAGAACGCAGTTCAGATACAAGCTCACTTCAAACACCTATGGCGCAACAACGCCTGTACAACTCTCTGTTCGTCGCCAACCCAACGCTGCTGTTCACACACACACTGGATCACCCTGGATATCCCACACACATCACACTGTACACATGCACACACACACATGCTACGCTCTCCTATCAGCTATGGCGGCTATGGCCGCTCCTACTCCTATCGCTATTGCTAAGCTCTCCTTCTCGCCCACTTCGTCTTCGGGCTCACTGCAAACCACCTCGCACAAGTCGCTGTGGCAGCGCTTCSGCATGGCTTACGCAGGAATGAATGAATGGCTGGGCGCTGCCTCTTGCTTTATACTTTTGTACCTCGTTGGTCTGCCCCTTTCCCATGCCCGTAGTGCACATAGTTCCGTACGGTACTTGCTTGACTGGACTAGGACTGACTGGGACTGGTTCCGTCGACTCAGCAAGGGTGGACTTCACCACTTGCCCATTTGCCTCTACCTAAACATGCGCAGGCGCCGAAAGGCCACTTTCGGACCTTCCGGAAGTCCGTAGACTTGGCCTTCGGTACTCAGGACGTTAGCAGCCATGACTTTGACCCTTCGGAGGAGCTACAACTACGACTCCTAGGACCTGCTAAAACCTACAACCAACAGGTCCACAACGCGAACTCCTACAACCTACAGACCTACGACAGCCTACCAACTGCTGTGAGTACACAAGTCACGGGTTCAACTCTCGGGGTCGCCACAAATATTGTACACAGGTAAGGTGAGGACTAGGGATCGATCCCTGGGATCTGCATCCGCTACTGCGAATAGGTGAATACCGTTTCAGAGCTTTACACCGACCAATTGGCTGATCAGGAGGCGTTTTTATGGATGGCCCCCGATGTCCTCAGGAATGATTTAACGTCGCAAACAGGACGATGATCACAACCAAAGGTCCCCGCCGGTGCTTATTTATGGATGTCCGGTCTCATCTTTCCCATAGGGCTGGCCTGCCCCTCAGAACCCCACTGTAGCGCAGCGAGCAGACAAAGGACAAAGCAGCAAAGGATGCGTGCTCTACTCCCGGTGGGTTGGCATGGTGACCGTGACCCAGTGCGTCGTCCAAGGCCCTTCAGATAGCACCGCCGTCTGCTTTTAGATGGTCCAGTTGAAGGTTGACAGCTCTCAAGGTTGAGCGCACACGAGTCCTCACATGAGAGGACTCTCAGGACATAACACACATCCTGACGGTAAAAAGTATCGAAGAGGGTAGATAAGGTTAGGTGCAAGGTACCTCAGAATAGCTGCCCCCAACCACAGATATTCTCACCAGATGACGCGATGTTGATTGTGACGGCACAACCAGCATTGCACCATCGTTCCACCTCTGCATCAATCACACATCGGAGAGTTCTCATCACACTGCGAACACCCAATATTCACCACTCAGTAGCCTTCTTGGCAATACCCGTCACCTCCTGGGTCGCCTCACTTATCTCCACCCTCCTCACTACACACCTCCCACAGCCGTTCGCCCAGCAGACCGCCGGCATGTACCGCAAAGGTAGAAGATAAGCGCCAGATAAGTGCACTGAATCCACAACTCCGATACCAAATTACAAGGAAGATGAGCAATAGCGAACTTAAGACCAAATTGTCGTGACCTCGAACCAATAGCAATATTGCATCACGAGTTTCACCAAATAAGAACACAACAAAAGCTCATTATTGACAATGTTGGAATAGTCTCATCATCATCAACAAAGAACCAATGTCGATATCCTATCTGGCGCTCGACGCCCAAACTACAAATGGCAGATCCTATCTAGCCTAGACTACAATGTCGCTGATGACGTCAACAGCTCCCCGAAGTACGAGCAAATCTCGGTCAATGTCGTACGCTTCAAGCACCAAGTATGTCTCTCGTATCACTCACAACCTCGTTCCCCAACTCACAGATGCCACATGCAGCCAAGGACCACCATGCGCCCCATCCAGCATACAACAGCGCAGCTCGGCTATGGCTGCCTGCTCCTTCCAGCTGGCCCGTGAGCGTGTGAGCGCTGGCCAGCGTTAGCGCAGCAGCGCTTGCGCAGCATGCAGCCAGTGCCTGAATGCCGATTGTGTGGCCACGCCCTTTCCTAAATGGAAGTGGCCTGCCTGCCTTGCATGCAGCCTGGCTACGTTGGGTCCCTGCCCGAAAGCTTCCGGTAGGCTCAGGGAGGTTGAGCCTCAGTCCAAACAAATCAGGCCGAGGGCCACCGACACTTACCCGTGCCCAACTGCTCACAGCCTGAGTTGGGCCTATGCTACGTATCTCGCCCAGGGCCCGACTTAGATACGTTTGATAAAGGAGGCTAGGGTCTGGGCGCCTTGAACCAATCGGCGCTGCGCAACTGCCTGAATTCTCCCCTGTTGCGTAGTCCAAAGTAGGCCCTTTGTCATCTGTCGAGCTTGCCTTCACTTAGGGCGGCCGACCTGTTGCAAATAGGGGCCCGGTAGCGCTTATCGAGGCCTTGTGCCTTGCATTTCGTTCATCTTCTCACCTGGGTGTAAATGGCAGCTTCATTTCTTGCTCTTCTTAGTGTTATTGTCTTCATGTGCTCATGCTTTGCCCATTTTCCTAAGTAATTCACCACTTCGCATTTGGAGTTCCGATGGAGCTCACTCTCCCTTCTCTTTTTGTTCATCTTGTCACTTGGGTATGAATAGCAACTTCATTTCTTGCTCTTCTTAGTGCTCTTGTCATTGTGTGCTCATGCATTATCCATTTTTTCACTTCAAAGTATTTCACCACTTTGCTTTTTGCGCTCTCAAGCTTGGGAGCGAGTTCCACTCACTCCCCGTCTATACCTTGTCAATCTTTTCACTTGGATGTGAAGCGCTACTTCTATGTTTGTCCATTTTGCTGGCAGGGTCGTATGTCCACAATGAATGCTATGTATCTGTGGCAACTGACCCCCATGTGTTTTATTTGAATGGCACTCTAAGCCCCTCGTGCTTTATTTGAACACTGCTTCACCCCCCCCCCCCCCCGTGCTCTACTCGAACACCATAAGAGGGGGAGGCGGATAAGAGACTGTAGCCGGTGCCGCTGCTGCTGCTGCTGCTGTTGTTGTTGATGCATGGCCAGGCCTCGGCTGCTGCTGCTGCTGCTGAGAAAGCCATTGTCCAAGCGTCAGGACAAAGGCCGGTCCAAAACGGCAAACGGGCCACAGTGCAGCCCGGGCTGCTGAAAACGAACTTCGCCATGTAGAAGATATGGGGGCTGGGACTGAATAGGCCTCATGTCCTAGTCATACATAGATGGTTTGCAAAACCACCATGCCATCGGAGTCCATTTTCTCACGAAAACGGAAAATGGACATCCCTGAACTGTTCGCTTAGAGCCCCTCCGGTGAGACCCGAAACAGGAAAGTAGGGGCAAACGGCGAGAGGTCGTCAGTGCATTATAGACAGAGGGCCTATGAAGTTACGTCGACATCGAACGTCGTTTGGGCCACCAAAGGCAAATCTGAGTTTTTCGGCTCTCCCTCCCCTAGCAAAATTGGCAAAATAAAAAAAATGCAAATCTTAGTTTTTCTTGCAAATCTGAATTTTGCAAAGTTTGAGTGTCTGTTGCAAGTCTACATTTC